CTTTCTCTCTCTCGCTACGTCTTGATTGGACAAAAGAGAATCATAAATGTGTTGGACAATACTTCTGCGCATGGGACAACCCCATCAGGACTTCACGTGGAGGGCAAAGACAGTTTAAAAAAACAAAAGTGTTTGACTCCTGTTCTCAGTGTTAAAACAATTCGTCTGTTAACGGTTTTGATAAATAATAATCGTTTAAGCAGGAATGGCGTTGGAACCACATCTGACCGATCAAGCTTTTGAAGACGTCATCATGCGCTCTTGTGATGGCTCTTTTTCACTATTTTGTTACATTTTATAGACTAAATGATGAATAAGCTGTTTGATGAATCCAAAAACATGATGGACAAAATATGGAAAATCTAGATTGAAAACCGTAGTTGGAGCCCAGATTGAATGCTTATATGTTCCTCTGTGAATTGAGAAAATGCTCCGTCTTGGGATAATCAACAATTGATGAGAATTGTGAGGCCAAGTGGTTACAGGGCATGCCGCATAACCGCAAGGTCTCAGATTCGGTTGCGGCTTTTGGACCTTTGTTGCGTGTCATACCTCTCTCTCTCTCTCCCATTTCGACACTGTCCTCTGTCTATTAAAGGTGAAAAATGCAAAAGAAGTTCCTGCATTGAGAGTATATTGTTCCAAACCGAGTAGAATGTGTTTCATTATGTTTGTCTATGTCTGGACTCAGTCCGTGCCCTGTGACACACTATTTACACGTTGTATAACAGATCTCCATTCGGTTTGACCCTGGGAACTCGAGCACTTTTGGAAAACTTGGAAATGTGTATCCCGGTAGGACTTCATGCGCCACCCACATTTGAAGGCCTCTAATTTAGAAGTCAAACTGACTTTCAAATGTTACCCCCCAAGTGCAAATATAGTCCTGCGTGTGCTGAAATAGAAACTAACTGCACCATGATGTAATTACACATTTGGCTCTGAAAAGGAAGCTTCTCACTTGTCCTAGTTTCAGTATGTCCACACTCCTCGTCTCCCAGTTAATTTTCTTTTCATCTTACGTACATGTAACAGTCAACATCATTTTGTTTTCAGGCCTGATATGGTACATGAGGAGCTTTACTTATGACATGTCAATACCTACAAATACAAATCTCCTCAAAATGAGTGGGTGATGTTGGTGTGACTGTGGGAAGAAAAAGCAAATAAAAGTCTGCTGGATAAGATTGAAGGCCCTGTAGCTGTTGGTTGACCCCCAAGCCGCTCTGAACACTTAACCTTTGACCCTGAACAACGCAAAGAGCTGTTTGTGGTTTCTAAGAAGCTATAAAGTTAGTTCAGCAATATTAAAAGGGCAAGTCCATAAAAAACACATATTAAAAGTTAAGAACAAATAAAAACCAAGACTTTGACAAACACAAGTCTATAAATAAGTGTTCATAAAGATTCAGCTAACCATATAAACTCATCAGACCAGTCAGTCTGATGTCTTGGAGCATCAACTCAAGCCTTCAATTTATTATAAGGTTAAGATGTTAAACTCCTATTGGTTTTAAACATTCTTTGTTTATCGGCTTGTCATGTTAGCACTGTTGATAGCTGGTGCACCTCAAAGCTGCACATGACTTCTGGTCCAGGTTGTTGCCATTCTTATATTGAAGAAGTTGTACCAAGCAGTCAGTCAAAACAATACAAGTATAAGTGCCAAAATTCGGTTAAAATTGAACTCAGATATCAGCCATAGACTGTGTTTAAGAGATGGACGTAGTCGAAGTGACACACACTGCTATGTAAACTATTGGCTTGAATCCTCAAGTTCGACATTTTAGCCGTCGCCATCTTGTTTTTTGGCCTTGTGACACAAAACGACAGACGACTCCCAGACTGGACAAAACCGTGGTAGCGACACCGTCAATCACAAGGTAGCCACACCCTAGCATACCCTGCTTTGTTGTCTACTTTACTCTAAATGGGACCATCATTGAAAAGGACTTGAAACTAGTGATTGAGACCATAAACTCATGTTTACAATGTTTACTGAGGCAATAAATCAAGTGATAAGTATGGTCATTTTCTCATAGACTTCTACACAATCTGACTTCTTTATGCAACCAGAGGAGCCATTAGACAAAATTAAAGTTTAGGCCCTTCCGCAATGACTTCACTTTTCAAAACCGGAGGTTGCCTCCTGATATCAGCTCAATGAGAAGCACTGAGGAAAGCACAAATTTGACCGCTTCGACCATTTGTGTTAATTCGCCCCAAACAGCCAATGAACCGACTGCACAGATGTTAGCTGCGAGCTAGCTGGCAACAGCCGCACTGACTGTGTGTGGGATCGAGCCTGTGTATTTGTGTTTCAGCTCAGCCCCTCTCTCTCCCGTTTCCTCTCGTCCCTGTACGTTGATGAAGCACGCTCATAAAAGCCCCAGTATAAGCATGATTTGTTTCTGCTCAAGTTGAAACATTTTCAGCTCACGTGGACGCGTCTTCCCCAGGCAAATTCGTGTCTAACTGCGGCTTTTCATTGACTTTGTAAACAATCGTGCCTTGAGAGGATGGAAATTTCATTATGCACACCAGAGCACATGGTGTTGACGAACAAAGGACTGTGTTTGAGAAATATCTTGTGCGATTAAGGGACATACATCAGAGAGTACAGAGGGTGTCAGAAGCACACTGTATATCTGAGGCAACAAAGAAAACCGGGAGTATAGGGTACAGAAAACAAACGACACGACCTCCACTCTCACACAATGTGAGGACTGGCCCGCTCCCAAATTCATATCAATGACTTAACAGCTAATCACAATAGATATTACACTTGCTTTGAAAAATGTGGCTGGAGACAGGAAGAATAACTCATTACATAAGGTGTAGGGTGTTCCAGTAAAAGCATACAAACTTCTCCTTTATTTGGAAAGCTTACGCCTCGGCACACTGAGCTGTGTTTTGATTTTCTGTCCTTCGAGGGGCTCTAACAATTTATGAGCTGCTGGTCCAGGTGCTCTCCCCCATTGACCCGTATTTGTAGATCCAGCGGGAGCCCAGAGAAAGGGCTCGGGGGCAGAAGGGAAGCTGCGGAAAATGTGTTAAAATTCAATAGTGGAACAATGTCTTTTATCTTTTTTGATTGTGTGCTAGATTTTTGTGAATTCCTTTCAACTCTGAATCCCACATAACATTGGGGATCGTCATTACGGAAGAACTTAACCATTTTGGTTCGCTCTTATTGCTCTCACCAGTGTTGTTTCCACCCAATGGAAGCAGCTAAACCTATTGTATACTTCCTGCTTGCCACCAAACAGCAGACAGACAAAATTACCAACTAGCTGGTGAACATTTAGCAACCGAAGAGCCAGATATTTTTCTCAAAAGTTAATGGTGTCCAAAACAAATCTATTGAGCCACTATTGGACTTGACTTAACCTGACTGTTATGCTTACAGATTGTCTCCACTGCTTTCAAGTATCCCAAAAATTATTTATTAAAGTTTTGAATCCTGCAATGTTCACCTGACTCCATTAGGTTGTTGTGTTTTTTGTCATGCTAGCAACAGTGTTGGTTGATTGGTCAGTCCACCACTTTGGTCCAGAATGAAATATCTCATTAAATATGGGATGGATTGCCGTGATTTAGTGCAGATTTGTTACAGATAGTTAAAGTTACAATCTCGAAGATCTCCGTTTGGTTCTCTTTGGCGGCACATATAGTGAGTGATGAGCTGTACTTGCAGGTTTCATAGCTTATGGCCACAATCACCCAGTTTATAATACTGCAAAAGCATGGGCTTTCATCAGTTGGCCATACGCTCAATCACCATTTAAGGTCCCCAATTCAAATAACTTTGGTGATCAACCGACTGTCCATCTAGCGCCACCAGCAGGCCGAAGATTTAAATGTTCCAGTGAAATATGTCCACATCTATAGCAGCTTAGGAACAACATTTAGTTTAGACATCCATGGACCCTAGAGGATGTAATGACTCTGGTGAGCCCCTACATTTGTCACATCTTTGATCATTAGTGAAATGTCACGACAACTATTGATGGATTGACATGAAATTCGGTTTGACATTTCAATCAGCCTCAGTTGCAGCGTAGTGCTAATTAGCAATGTTGGCATGCTAACAAGCTACGATGCTGACCATGGTAAAAATGACACATCAGCCTGTTACCATTTGTTTTATTGTGAGCATGCCTCTTCAAGAGACAGTGACATTGTAGGTTAGAATTGTATTATCATTTTTGCCTCACAAGTATCCAGCAGGAAATATAAAATCGTCTTGCCACGGGACAGACCTTTGTCACAATGTCGGAATCAAAGGTTGAAGGTGGATCGTTGTACATGTGAGTAAGAGAGACAGGCAAAATATCATAAATTATTCACTGGATTGATATTCGGTTAGTCCGTAAATGTAAAGCGCTGTGGAAAGTTATGTTTTTTTTTTGCTGTTGAGTTTCATTTGTAGTGTCTCGATAAGCATCTCTCTGGAACATCTGTGCAGCTGTCTGTGAAGCTCTGCTCTGGTGTGGTGAATACAAAATGTCCAAGCTTGTCATTCATGAGAGCAGTGCCAGTAGAAAGACCCACATGTCAGCATTGAGTTTACCTTCATGTGTTATGTTCGACTCCGCTGATCACAATCTTAAAGTGAATTAAACCAAACAACACGGACGTCAGGTCTTTTAAAGCGTATCGGCGTCTTCCAGAAGAACGATTTAAGCCTTTGATAGGGAGCCAGTGTGCAAAGAACACAGAGCTAACAATGGGCAGTATTAGCCTGCTAACAACAGATGATATTTGACTTTGACCACAGAACAAACACTGTGGAATTTGAACCAACCTCTTGCTTTTTCATACCTCCTTGACGACTGCTCAATGTCACGATTCGTGCTGGACCACAGTGGTTGGATTGGTCCACAATGTTTTGGAGATTTCTATGAGCTCTGAAGTTAATTCATTTTCTATTTCTCTGTTTTCTCTAGTGTGCCGAATAGCATGCCATAAGAAATGTGAAGTCAAGGTAAGAGTCAAACCGCACACCTCAAGACACAAAAGGATTAAATAAAAAAGGCATTTACAGATGCAACAGATGTGCTTTGCTTTCCACAAGGAGAAATAAAAAACATGAGATATGCTCCTAAACAATTATAACTTCCCCTTTAAAATCCATTTGAGCTTATCGGGAGGAAATATGATGTTTTAGGTGGAGTCAGCTACTCTTCTGTGTGTGCATACATGCAGATGTTGAGGTAGGCGGAGCTTGGGGAGTTTATGTTCTGCAAAAAAATCTTAAGAATGTCTAAACAAGTGCTCTTTGTACCAGAATGTGTTTATATTGGATAAAGTCTTGCGTCTTGGAGATTGCCCCTGCGTCTAAAAATAAAAGACCTCTGGATGGAGCCGTCACTTGATTCATCTTGTTTTGGAAAGGCAAAGAGCACATAGAAGAAAATGGGAGGGGGGAACAAGTGAAGCTGAAGTTCCTGCAGGGTCCTTAAAGAGGAAAAAGATTTTATGTATAAAAGTACAACTGCTATGAGAGGTTTATGAGAGGTGGGATTTGCCCACACGAGCACGCGATCACAAACACACTCACACATGTACAGTACGTATGCACACCTATGTTTATACCCAGCCTTCATCTGGTATTCATTATTGGAATGGGTGCTTCTTGCCAGCTTTGCCTAATCCCTCTTTTACTCTCAGGAAATGCCAGAGGTGCAGGGCAGACAGGCCGTGCTAAGTGCGAGGTGGGGGCTTTGGCCAGCCATGCAGGGAAGGCCTCTAGTAGAACAAAATAACGGAAATGATAAGCCCAGCCCATACCACCTTTCACTTTTGTCTTTGCATTGCAAAAAAGTGCCAGCAGATTAGTTTGATTTAAAGGGGACAGAAAAGAGAACAGCTCACTTTTTCAGTGCTTGAGAACATACATTTGGGTATCTGGAGTTCTAACAAACTGTGAAATAATACAACACAGTCAGTTTTTTTTGGTTTACCATCCACGGTTTGTGAGCTACCTTTGCAAAGGTTCACCTTATTTTTATCGCAAGCCAATCAGAGGACACTGGGCTTTTTCAGGAGGTGGGCTTAAAGAGACAGGCGCTTAAACGAAGCATTTCAGACAGAGGTTGAATACAGGTATGTTCAGACATGAACATGCTCTATAGTAGAAGCCCAAAATATATGAATGAACAACAATACGGACCTGTAATGAATGCCCAGGCGTTTAGAAAATGTTCCCTCCACCCCCCCAAAAATGGAGGATGAATGACATGTTGTTGTAGAGCACAAATTACATTTTAACATTTCAAAAGCGAAGTCTCTTGCCAAAAGCAATGTCCCCATTACTCTGAATAATAAGATGTTTACAATAATCATATGGCAAATATTGAGGATAAATATTCAGCCAAACGGAGGGTGCAAAATTATTTTTTGTCCTCTTGTGTTCACAACAACCCACTCCATTTATTCATATCGCTGTGCTGCAGAACAATGTGTGATGAATGAAAGCATACGCTACATACTTGTTGATAACATTTGTATTTCAGGAAGTCACGGGTCAGATTTTTGGGAGGAGACGTTAAAGGAGCCCAGAACATACTCCCTGTGTCTATATATGTACAAAACTGGAACTTTCCATCTCCAAAAAAATCACAACAGCATTTCCTTTTCTAAACATTTCAACTGAAAATGACACAGCTTTGGCAGGAAGCAATTTGCTAACAAGCCTGAGATGAAAAACAAGGGAGTGACCACGACAGGGTCATGCTTGATCACTATCGCCACTCAGTCAGGCCTGCGAGACTGTTGGACACATTTTTTATGGAATATTTATTTTAAGAAACAGATAAAGCTCTATGTACTGCCAGTCATATATGACCTTGCTTGTTAGGAATCTAAACTCCTGATCATAACTCTTGGCTGGGACACTTATCCCAAGTACACACTACAGTTATGAATCTCTGTCTCTAGATGAGATTAATATGCAGCCCGTATTTAACCTGGCAACTGCAAAAATGGTCAGACCTGTGTGTGTGTGTGTGTGTGTGTGTGTGTGTGTGTGTGTGTGTGTGTGAGTGTGAGAACACCCTGAGGTGTGTTTGCTCTCAACTGGATGTGAAAAATGCTTTAAATCTTGTCAGTTAGATTTCACTCCTGGGTGATGACTGGAGAGAGCTTATTAGATCACCCTGGAAGTTAAAAAACAGGAGTGATTTCAAGGTCAATTTTTGCAAATCCTTGTACATTTAAGCTACATACCCTACCTGTCATTTCTTTCACATGTCTTCTTCCTTTGCCCAAACTTATCCTCTTTCTGAAAACCCTGTGGCTGGATGTCTGGGACTTTCCTACTGTGCTGCTTAAGGAGCATTTAAGGAAAGGTAAAACCTTCACCATTCTCTCCCTAAATACAACGAAACTGCATTGTGCATTATATTTTGAACGAAACTTATTTGTGTCTGTTTTTTACGTATCGCAAATACGTTTCTAATGACACTCTGTAGAATTCTAAACAGGAGAGAGGTAGGGTCGACAGATGGGTTCAAGCAAACACAGGACTTTCACCCAGGACATTGCCGTTTGTGTCCTGTGTAAAACCAAAAGCTGACACTTATTTTGATTGATGTTCACGTTTTAAATACCATAAAAATCATGATGTTTTATACTAAACCAACCTTAGTAGTTTTGTTGCGTTTTTTAAATGTTATCCAGATGTTTAAAACCGTTTAAAACATGCGCCCATAATCCAAGAGGACCTTGGAACATAATTGAGAATGCAGTTTAGTTGTATAGGAACATTATTTTGTCGGAGACATGGTTGAAACCATCAACTACTTAAAAGCTCTTGGTCTGCTCACACTAACTGTATTCTGAGACATACAGCGTAGTAGCAGCCATAGTAGAAGCTTCCGCCAGTAGAGCTGAGAAAAGTTCCATTTGATTGTCCAGAATGTAGTCATAGCTACAGAAGGATTATTTCATTCTGCATTTTTTATTTCTTCACTGAGGTGAACCCCACGTTTTAATCTTTCACAAATCCACGACATACTCTTCCTGTTTTGTGCAATTAAAACAATCTCCCTTTCAGTCTGACGTTCAGCATAAACATACTGTAAAAAGAAATAATCTGCTCCTCAGTTGTGGTCTGTGGTCTGTGTCACCCTTAACCATTTGAACCCTGGGTTCTTTTTGCTCAGTTTCCATTCCTTGTTGTTGGACAAACAGTTTGTGGACTGTGAAAACAAGATGCTCAACGTTGGTGAATCCCAGAAATCAGTGGGTATTAACAAAATAAGAACAAATAGTGTATATGGACAACAATACGAGGACATTTGTTCTTGTATTGCCTCCTGTATGAGGCGCATTGTCTTTTTTTTCTTGAATAAATAAACATTTGATGAAAAAAGGAAAAGAAAATCTAAGGTACAGTATATAACTATATCTATAATGTACATTAAATAAAGTGGTGTGTGGTGTGGACAAGCCTATATTTGAGACTGAACATTTATGATTTGTTGATGATTTATCTTTATTTATACATTAATAATTTATTTCAACAATTCATTGTTACTCATCATAAAAAACACTTTGTTATATGTCTGATAAGCTAGAATCGTCCAAAGTATGAGTCCCACTGATACACTAGCCTCTACTGGGTTGGACACTTTAAGTCAGGAATAAGCTGAGGTGCTGAGTACAACCTATTCGATGTCACTGATCCTTCGTTGCCCGTCGAGTGTGTTTTGAGAATGAAACTACTATGTTCCAGCTTTAATGAGGAAGGAGGTGTGAGAAAGCAGAGTGGAAGAACATGGACACATTCTCACTCCACTGGTTTCCGTTTTCCTCACCTAAATGATGAAGAATTTGTTTTCACTTTTCCCAGCTCCTGAAATTCTCCGAATGCGTGTTTGGAGAAAAATCCTGTGTTTCTTTGTGCTGGCTGCCGTCCACTGTGTGTTTTTGTTATTTCAGGTTTGTTATTTGTGACCCCTTTAGTTCCTTTCATTGAGCACAACATGCTTCAGAGCTGCAAATTGCTTCTTTGTATTGCTGAACAGTTTAACAGTCTTAATAACATCAGTTCATAGGTCGGTGTGAATCATTTCCTGCTCAACAAATGAGTGCTATTCTCATATTTTAAAGGACAAATGAGAATATAATTTAATGAGAAATGTATGTAGTAGATAATAAAAAAAGACAGAAAATCCAGATCAATAATTTGTGTTTTTTTAACTTTAAAGGTGGATACACCTGCACATTTATGATTGATTACTTAAACTTTCTCCATTCCAGGAAGTTTCTGGATACTAAAACTACATATGTGCATGTCAGTGGCCACATTTTTAACATTTCGGAGCGATCATCTGGTGATTGAAAGTCCTTGGTGCGGCTGACAATAATGCAGACTCTCATCATTATTTATTGCCTCCGAGTCTTTAACACATCCAAACACCTGTATCCACGCATGTAGGGTGCGTTTTCTGAGAGAGAACATCAGGTTTGCAGCTGGCCTTCCCCTCAGCTGCTGAACACAGCTTGGATTTATAACTGTGGCAGGTTACAGTAGCTGTCTGGTCACCAGGAGCTTCATGCACAAAGCCAGTTAGAGTTTGGGATGTCACAAGAACCCATGCTTGTTGATACCAAAATTCAAAAAAATGTGGCAGTACTCGTTTTTGTATATTACTGCAGGTATACCTATAGGTACCTGGATGGGCCCGAGAAAAAGTGAATCAACTAACAATGATCTAAAACAACAAAAGAAGCAGTAGAGTTAGCATTGTATCTTAAAGGCTGGAACCAGAGTATGTTCAGCATTTTTCCCAACAATTATTGGATGGATTACCATTCAATTTGTAAACATACATGTTTCCCCTTCACTTTCCCCCAAGAGCCATCATCACGTCAAATTTTGAATTTGTCCAATACCTTTTCTTTGTTTTTGACCAAATATCTTCTAAACAAGTGGCATTTCGATCAGCCTTAGATGTCCCTTGTCCTAGTCCTAATTAGCATGTTCGCTAAAGCAACTAAGGTTTTGAACTTGACAAACATTATCCCTGTCTAACATCCATGTCATCTAAGTTGTTGTCGAATATTTCTTTGTTGATCAGCTAATGAATTACTCAACTAATCATTTCAGCACTACTACTACTACCACTTAAGGTAGTTTTAAAGAGTCATTTTGCAGAATTGGACAATACTGATGACTTGTACTTTATTTAAAAGGCCAGTATGTGGACATTTTGGGGTCTCTATTAGCAAAAATAAAATATACTATTCAAAGCTATGTTTTCATTTGTGTAAAATCCCCAGAAACTGAGAATCATGTTTTTCTTAGCTTAGAATGATCTATATAGGAGACTACCATGTTGCACCGCCATGTTTCTACAGTAGCCCAGAAAGGACAAACCAAGCACTGGCTCTGGGTCCACACATTGCCCTTTGACTGTAAGCACAGGAGGCATTACATAACCCCCGAGTGAAGTTTCAAAGATGTCAGCGTGGTATTGAATCCAAGTAACAACATGAACAACTTCCTTCCTTCTCCATGCGGCGGCCGCGGCTCTGCAGATAGTGACAAATGGGAGTGTGCAGTAAGAAGGTGAGGCAGTAGAAGTGTGTGTGGGGGGGGACTTCTGTCAAGGGAACATGTGAAAGTCATATCGCTGTGACAGACTGAGTGCTAGGAACGAGTGAGGGCAAAAGAGAAAATGGATGGGGTGGCGTCATAATCCAAATATTCTCTTGGGTCTTTGCCATGGTGTCTGTATGTGCTGTACTTTCAAGTAAGCAGCTCATAGTCCGATCAAATACAGAGCCAGCCGACAGCTCCGAGGCTAATTGAATTAGCAGTCACAGGACAGAACACATGCTCGCTGCTCTGCCCTCCACCTTATGATAGCATGCGTTTGCGGGAAACAACACAAGCACGGGGTCAATCACACTGCCTCTTATTTGAGAAATCATGTTTCTGATTTTAGTTACGGCAGGATTTTTAAGTTCTGCTGTCAAAGGCATCATGTTTAGAGCTACGTTGAAATGTTAAAGGTAATGCAGTCCTAGGAGAACCACTTTAAACTTAATCCTAATAACTGTGGCCACCGCATGTATCCTCTTTGTCACATCTCTCAGGTGCTTTATTCTCTCATACCAATCTGTCATGACTCTGTCAATCAATTTGTTCAGTTTTAATTAGTGCTTTAAAAAGAACAACAACGTATCAGTCAAAAGCACCCAAATAGATTTAAATAGCTTGAGTTCACGTTTGCCTACTGTATGTTAAAAGGTGCCCAATACGAAATTCAGAGCATATCTGGCAGCTAACAGTGCCAACAGTGCAAACAACAGCAATGTGCTGACAGAGTTAACAGTGTTTACTTGAGGGGGAACTGGTGGGCGGGCACTACGACTCTGCGATCTGCCGTTGGGCGGGACTGCGTCATCAGCTCAGCTAATAGTTGTTTGCTGCTATATTAACGCTCTGAATATCTCACAGAGAACCTTTGGATATGTTGGTTAGATGAGGGTTGCATCAATTCCTTTTTTTTTTTGTTGGCTAAAGTGAAATAAGCTGTAAACACAACATTGACATAAATGACAAACATGGTAAGCTAACAGGTGCTTATTTAAACACCCAGCAAAGCGGCAACTTAGCTGTTACATAGCCATAACAGTAGTTGCAGTTGCAGGCTATAAAACCAAAACATTGAGCAGAACAATGTTGAATTGCTCCGTAGAGGAACTGTAGAGTCTGGTGGTAATTGTCTGTTGGATTGTTGAGCAGGACGCCTTTTCACATTACACATATTCCCTAAATCCATTGTTGACAAAGACACTGACAGGTGCAGCTTTGAGTTTGACCATGCAAACAAAAGCTGCTGTTGCTGTTGTCTACTTAAGCTCAATTCCGAGCTTTGTGGCTCACTGATCTGTGAGCTTCATGAAAAAACTGTCAGCTCTCCTTGTTCCAGTGCGTGAGTGTAAGGGCTTACACAAGGAGTGATGGCTTATGGCCATGTGCTTAGCCAATGCATGGTAGCGACATGTGCATAGATACAGCAGAGAAAACAAACAGGAACGCCCAGCCTTTAACATGATGGAGTAATCAAGAGTTGCTGGAAAGAATGTCAACAACGGGCCAAGTGCATATGCAGGACACAGCGATGGAAGGAATAAGTGAGGGCAACGGCCTCGTAGAGCATGCAGTTGCATTACTTGCTTGGGATTTAATTGCCCTACAAAACTTATTTTTCAACCTTCATTTTCCCGAGGAACAGTTGAGCTGAGCATGTGCCCTCTCTCCCGGTATCGCTAATCTTCCCTGACCACTACAACAGCTGTGGGTGAAATGCCTCGGCGGAGGACTCCTCCTCGTTACATGCTGAAGGAGCGCTGAGACTTTTCCCACCCATACACCCATACGTCTCTTTTCCACTGTGTCTGAGCTCCTGCGGCCTAATCATGACCATCCAGGAGAAAAATCCATGTTGAATCTGCTCTGTAGACTGCATTGGGCGTTGGTGAAACGTTCCACCGGGGAGCTGGGGGGGGCCAGCGATCTGCTCGGCTCTGCTGCTGCCAGGGAAAGCCTGAGTCAGACTGGAGAAACGGGACCTCACCCAGACAGCCCTCTTTCTCAATGTCCCTCCCTTTCTTTCCATTTATCCTTCTGTATGTCACTTTTTCTCAAGTCTAGTGCACTTGTTTTCTCTTCCTGTCCTTTCATTCCCTCTCATTCACCCAACAACACCATGTTTTTCACGATTGGAAAAGTCAATTTGAGCAGTGACAACACAGCGATGGGTGCGTTCGTCCACTCACGTATACAGGAAGGATTCATGCTCGTGTCATATTCTATTATTATTCATATTGTTTTGTGCTATTAGATAAAAAACATAAGATGTCGTGGGATCTGTTAGGGTTAGGGTTAGGGTTAGTGATTTAGTGTTCGAACTTACGTGAAATGATGTCTTTCTCCAGCTAATACTAAGAGTCTTGGCCTACAGACAGCAGTCACGGGATCCTGAAGGTAATAAAAGCCACAGGAAATAGACCAGACTAAGAGAAACATATTAGCCTCAAATACAGAGAGATAACTTTCCCATGTTTTACAATACCTAACAAACATAACAATGCATAATTGCATTGCAGCGAATGCGGCAACCCAAAGCTCTAAGTAACACATACCCACATGGAGCAACACAGACACCAGAAAACAGGGGGAATTCCCACTCCCCACTGTTTAGCCCGGTCCCTACATTAAAGGTGTGCACCTCACATAAACAAGCATGTTGTTTTGTGACCATAAACCACATGTCTGCTCTGTGGCAGCCCTCCCTTCCTTCCTGGCCCTTGTCATTAATAGCGGATTAAACAACGCTTTCTTGAGCCGACATCTGGTGAACACGGCTTTAACTAAAAGGTGTTACTTGTAGAAGTAGCTCCCGTGTAATTACTTACGAGCAACATCAAAGACAGTGGCCATTCTTTCCATGTCGAGGCGCAATATTTCACGTGCTACAAATCTGTACCAAACATTCCTCAGTAATGTCCCTTTGTGTGCTACCGGATAATGGCCGGTGAGGCTGTGGAAACAAATTAAAATGCCAGAGTTCTACCTGACTATCATCATGATTCCCTGTGAGATAAAAGCCAGTCTTCCTAAGCTTATAAATCAATTTTTGCATACTAACCGTTGACAAAATCACTCTCTATAATGTGACAGGAGTCTTTTAGTGAGGAATCCACAGAGAAACATGTCCTGATTCTGCAGTTCTGGGATTTTTAGCATCTTTCAGCTCGTTGTTTAGGCGCACACTTTTACTGATTCTATTGAGTCTCTGGGCTCTCATCAGATTCACGTCCAGCAGCAGCAGCTTGAAGCATTACGAGACAAACATGCTGTTTTATTTGCAAAGCTTGAGATGTTAGCGTTGCCTCCGGTGAACAACAAAGGACAACTCGAAATATTCCATTGTCATATCCCTTGGTTGAGTATTTAACATGTGACCAGTTTGACAGTAAATTGAAGATCCTAAGCACTGCCCGTTTCCTCTAAAGGGAAACGTTGCGAATTTTTTAACCTTGCATACTGTTACACTTTTTACTGGTGGGATGTTGAGGTGTAAAATATTGTCAAATTGCTGACATTTTGCCAGCTTTGACTACACGCTCTCACTCCATGCTAGCACTTGCAACTCTCAACAGATGAGAAAAACAAATCCATATGGCTCATTCATTAGCTACTTACGCCATAAATTTTGGATGCACCAATCTCTAAATATGTATATTAGGGATGAGTTTTAAGTCAAATTGTGTTGCATTCATTCCAGGGAATATCAATAATGAATATATGTATTTTTCTTTATTAGTCCCTATCGGGATTAGCTAAAGGGACAGTAATCAACTAGTGATCAGCAGTTGTCTTCAACTCTCTTACTGTGTTGTATCAGTTGTTCATGTGATCAGGTTTAAAATTTCACGTTCATATCGCCTTGTATCAGCATACTAACACGGAGTTGAACTCTTGGAATTAACATGATTATTGGTGCAGTGAGTTGAAGGACTGAGCTGGAGACTGATAAGTCTGTATCTCCACGCTGCTGTTGACACAGTCTGACTTTGGAGTTGCCGTGAAGTCAATGGATTCATTCATGGTACATTACTTTCTCTCCTGTTGCAGCTGTAGAGGGAGTGTGTGAGTATGTGTGCGAGTGAGATCGAGAGAGAGAGAGAGAGAGAGAGAGAGAAAAAGACTGAAAAGGAGGGGGGGGCAACTCATATTTAACCTGTAACTTGAGAAGTTGATAACAAGGAGCAAATGAAGGAAAAATGAGCACGTGAGGAAGGAGTGTGTGTGTGTGTGTAAGAGAGAGGACGACAGTGAGACAGAAAGAAAAGAGCTGCGCTTTTGTCTCCCCGAGCTCATGTCCCCGTTCCCCCTGATCTCCCTGGGAAATTCAGTTCAATATTTTTTCTCCTTTTCTCGTTGCTCATGTGTCTTTTCCCCCTCGTTTGGGAGGAGGGCAGAACAAAAATGGACTGAACAAGAGGGAGGAGAAAACCCAGGCAGGGAAAGAGAGGGAAATAGCTACAGCCAGGAGCCAGACTTTGCTTGCTTATTCAGCGCCCAGTGCTGCACTGCGCCGTTTCCAGTTGTGGGATGTTGTGGGATCTGCCTTTGGCTGCACTTCTCCCCACTCTCGCGCTCACATAAAGACTCTTTTTAGACATTTTTATGCTCATTTTCTTGGAGGAGTGAGAGAAGGAGAGACTAGCCAGACCTATTAGCCTGGAGCCTGAAACACACACACACACCAACTCTCTCTCTGTCTCTCTCGCTCTCTCTCTCCCTCTCCCTCTCTCTCTCTCTCTCTCTCTGACACACACTTGTACACTCCTCCGGCTCCGCGCTGCACCAAGGTAACAGTGAGTGGATTTAGCTTTAGCCATCTGGTTGGAGCGCAGGGAAAACCTCTCTGCTGCACAGAGGGGGGGAAAGGGAAAGGACGATGCAGCACTAAAACACAGAGCGAAAAACAACAACAAAAGAGTGAAAGAGAGAACGACACGCACACTGAGACAGGATGGCCACCGCAGTGTTTCAGGTAAGGAGTGTGGTTGTAAGGGGGGAAAGGATCTGCTGCCTGTCTGCTATTGGAGCTCCTGGCTGTCCCGAGCGCTGGCTGTGCTCTGCTCTGTGTCACAGACTCCACATTAGGGATTTGCTTAATTTGAAAGGGAGACACCTTAAGGCGCTCTCAGATGTATGTTTTTTTGAAACATGTATGTAACCTGGCACTGGTGCGGTACTAGAATGGTTTGTTGGTTTTACTGTATGTTCTACCTCTGCATATGCATCCAGACAGTAGATTTTGAATGTGCATTCTTCTGGATATGTGCGTCTTGAAAAAGTGATTACAGCAGAGCACTGCTTCAGTATGTACGTGTTCTGGTATAGATACGCAGGACTGTGTGTAAAGGAGCATGTAAGAGAGAGAGGTTTGTTGTACCACTGTAGACGTTGTTTGTCTGCATGTGAGTGCGAAGCGCTGCTTGTTTCTGGAGCACTCGTGCCTGTGTGTGGTCTCCTCGGCTTACCATGTTTTGTGGTCGGTGGCCCACGGTCATGGCTGGAATGACGGTGGTGGCGCATGTCTCTTCTCTTCTCGGCACCTTTTTGAGGGCACTTCAGTGTGTGTTTTGTATTCACTGTCCTGTATAAACCTAACCCTTTCTGAACCCGAGGTCAGAGCACAGCTTGCAAAAGAAACTGCCAACACGCATCTGTGGTAGAAAGTCATACTTCATCTATGAAAAATCAATTCTGCTCTCCACGAGAGAGAGAAAGTGTGCGTGTGTGTGTGTGTGTGTGTGTGTTAGCCTTCTTCCACGGATTTCAGTGTTGGTGTGTCTGCTGCCATGAACTCAGCCGCAGTGGTGTTTCATAATAGGACCTTGCAAAAGTTGTTGCACAGAAAACATCGCCCCAGGCGTGAGAAAACCCGACTGCACTTTTGGAATTTTTGGCACTTAGAGTGAGTCACAATTGCCTCCAATTTGCTTCAGATTTGAGAGAAAAAAAATAAGGGTCATAGTGTGAGATGCATAGATTTGCACGGTGTTCTCTATTAACCCTGTGTGTGTGTGTGTGTGTGTGTGTGTGTGTGTGTGTGTGTGTGTGTCTGGCTTCTTAATGGATTCTTATTTGTTTAGGAGGATGTTGTGCTGCCAGCACATTATACTATGTAAGATAAGCCTTGAATTGCATTTTGTTCTTAAAATATGGCTCTAATAGATGCATTAGTGTACCATAGTTCAATGGAGCTGTTTGAAAACAATGGCAGCCTGATGCAGGTCCCACTGGTTGTTGCTGGTATCTTCCTTATGATGTTCTAGTTTAAGGGGTCTTGCATCAGGCCAGTGAGTCAAATCAGTCAAAGTTACACGGCTATTGGCCCCTGTCACCTCCAGCGCTGTGTGCATTGTGTATGTACCCTGTCACGTCAACGGTCCCTTCAAGTACAGTGTGCACAGCAGACTGATATTCTACATGGCAGCTTCATCGTGTGCCAAGAGACCCAGAGGCCAACCAGTACTGCAAGCTTAAACACTCAAGAGAGCTGAGGGAAACTGATGAGTTGTGTAATAATTCTGTGTGGGTTTATCCCTACGAGTGATCCATCACATTTCACGTAGACATTTGACAGCCCAGTCGCCAGGAAACAATTACGACATTGTTCGTTCCCACAAACCGCTGGATACGTTGAATGTCAACGTTCCTGAAAACAAAAATATGTTTCATGAATACGTTTCATATCAGCCTCGTGTCACACTTGTAGAAACGCACAATAACATGTGCCTGATGTTGTGACACGATATGGTAGGTTTAGGCAACAAAACTACTTTGTTTAGGTTAGAAAAAAAGATCGCTTTGAGTTTAAATAATAAGGTACCAACTTAACGAAAAAAACTTAACAATGTATCAACAATATGAACAACAACCGGCATTAGCGGTTACATAACCTTACATAAGGTTCGGTAACAAGCGTAACTCTGCTATGTAAAACAACGTTAGATAAAGTCAACGCTTACTTTTGGTTTCACACTGGACACGAACAGTGGTTTCCAGGGTGAAAGTCCTATGTTTGTTTGACCCATCCAGCACTCTTTCCACCCACCTAGACTTTCTTCCTTGTTACTGTGTACATGTTTTTAAACCACGTAACTTTCAATAACGATCGCTTGATGTACTACGTCACTTGCTCTGCGTATCTTCCACTGTGTCCACCGCTCTGACCGACTGCAAAAAACATTCAGATTCAAGGTATCTGTGGTTTGCAAAAACGTGCTATGCCAACAATGTTTTTTCATGGCAAATGCAGCATTTGATCCACAGTTAGTATAACAACTTTATATGCTGTAATGTGTGGTATTTGACATCAAATTTGTCGTCACTTGTATGATGTGTGACCCAAACATTCCTTTTAAGCATTCCTTGTCAAGCATAAATGTAACACAGCGCTGTTCTGCCCGGACGGCGGCATTACCCATGACTCCTGGTTGTGTGGGAATGGCGTACATCCACTGGCAGCGAGCCCGTGCCGGACTGGGTTTCAGAGAAGACATTTTTCATCATTACCATCTGCCAGGGAACAGTGCTCCAGTCAACCCCCCGTCCCTCCTTTAGGCAGCTCATGATAGATGCCTAACCGCAGGCACACACAACCGCACATGCAGCCAGGACGGGCACATACGTAGGCAGGGTCGGGCAGTTCGGGAAGGTGTGTGTTGAGTGACTATGTCTGTGTGTGTGAGTTTCTGGGATTAGGGATAAGGCAGTGGGTCCGTGGACCATGTAAAACCACCAGCATGGATTCTCATGCTTCTCTGCTGATGTAATCCATCCTTGGTGTGTGTGAGTGTGTGCGTGTGTGTCAGTTCTTGCAGACACAGCTTAACCTCTTGAATGACTATGTGTTGTAAAAAAGAGCATTTTTTAATATTTATTATTTATTATTTTCCCCCATTGATACAAAACACACTGACTGCGCAAATGACGTGTTTGATGAATGCCTGTCTCAACTCCTGTTATCAGAATGGAAGCTTTGTTTCACATCAATATATGGCTTCATACAGTACATATCCCACCTGATGTCATACAAATGATATTATATTGTTTCTTCTATCCTCACAAAATGCTCTGCAGAACTGTAATGTGTGCGCAGCAATCTATTTATGCCCTTTGTCCTCTGGACTAAATGCTGGCACAAACTGAGCCCGCAATACATTAGCAACATAAATAATCTGTAGCCGTGCCAAAGCATCATGCCCTACAGTTAGGCTTTTAGCGTGATTAATAGTATCCAATGAAGGCACAGTAAAAGCGTCACGTTTTGCAAGGGCGTCATATGTTTCACTTATGGTAGTTACTTAGCAGGTCGTCTGGCACATATGAGAAATTGCTGTCATAGGCCCATAGAAAGGTGTTTAAAGAGTGTATGAAGGAACATATCCGGACACTAATGTTGCAGTTAAAATGAACAGTGGACCCCTTTAGAATTTACTGCTTTGAGGCTGTAACAGCTTAGTACCTTCTAAGAAGCGACTAAGACCACCAACACTGACCAAATCAAGCCTCATTCCTTCACTTGTAACTGATGTAATGTTTTCAGTTTCGTTGTTTGGTTTTATTTCTTGCCACAACTCAAATAGCCTTTTGACGTTGGGATGACTTTGTTGGCTTCCACTCAAAAAGAGCTCAAATCTAAAAGAAACCACTTGGCCACAATCATTGCTTCTCCTCATTTGTCCTTCAGTGATAACTGGTGCCAGCACACTCAGACCAAAGCTTTCTGCAGACCCTCACAGTCTAATACCCCTTAAGTAGAGGGAACTTGTTATAATACCCCTAAAAAGAGAAACATTATAGTGAAACATTTAATGACGGCTAATATTTCAAATGGCTCCGTGCAATCAAGCTTAAAGCCTGGGATAATGGCCTTTTCGTAAACAGCGTTTGTATTTTCATAGTCATGGGATGAGAAGGAAGGGGGAAAAATGTTCCCAGTCTTTGACATGGCTTTTTAATGATCACCAAATGACATTGTTCATCATCTGCCGTGACAACACCAAGATGGCTGCCAAACTACCCAAACCAATGGCTAAGTCTTCTTGTAACATGTTGTAGCTGTTGTAGACATAGAATAATTCTGGTCTAGAGCTAGACAGGCCTTATTTGACCCTTGCATTGCTCCATCTGATAAATGCAGACCTATTTGGCTTCAAAGCAACTTGATCTTTATTGAATGTGGCTCCTCCAATGAAACTCAGCTGAAGTTGTGTCATTTTAAGGCCATAGGGAGAGTTTTGGATTTTCAGATCTATAGATTTATTGATCTTTTGTTGCCCTCAGATGCATTGGCTAAGATGTGTACATTGGTGGAGAGGTAGAATTTTTAGAGCATTTTTAACAATTCATATAGATACCAGGACTCTACAGTCTACCTTCAATTTCATTGTTTAAGATATTTCATTGTTTGGAGGATGGCTATTCTGGATGTTATGCCTTCGTTTGAGCAAATCACTACTTCAAAAAGTAGCGATTTGTTGAAGCATTTTGAGCATGTCAAGATATCAGTCAACCAACAGCACACACTTAATTTAAATTTGACATAGAGATTGTGTTGAGAACTCAGAAGACCAATTATTTGACCTCACCAGGACAATTTGCTAACATTTCTAGAAATCCTTAATATAGATCTATTTTTTGCACAAACTTAAAAGCTAGAGTAGAAAGAGACAGACAACAAGCCCAGTTTTGACGTCTTTTAGTGTGTTTGTTGAACAGGCACAAGAGAGGCGAGGGTTCATGATGTCATATCTTAAGAATTCACCTCCAACACCACACTAGTCGGTTTCTATCGTAACTCTGGATTTAGTTGCTGACTTTAATACTTTGACGTGAATCTAATGGACTTTGACAAGATGCCATCGCTTTGAACCTCTGTGGTCACATATTACATCACTGCACACAGCTTTTTTTTGGAGATTTACAGCAGATTTGGAGAAGCAGCTCCTGGCTATGCTCTCAAGGCAGCGACTTGCA